CAAACAAGACAAGGAATGGATCTCGACGGACACATGGAAGCTGATAGAGCAGAGAGGGGAAGATGTTGAAGCAGAGGATGAACCAGTGCAGTGCACGGATGAACAAAGGAAAAAAGAACTGAACACAACCTATAAAACACCATACTGCACAAATGACTGAGTAGAGAACATCTAGCAGAAAACATCCGAAGAGACTTTACTAGGTGCTTACTTATACATAAAGCAAGACTTCTTTGCGAAGCCAGATGCAAAAAACTAGGTCTACAATCACTGTGGCCGAGACTACTGGATCGCAACCTAACCTTTATTTTTCGTGTTTTTCTAGGAAAATCTAAAACAAACTGTGCTAATACTTTTAAATTAACACTGGCATTTGGTCTGCGTAACGGCGAACACACCATTCAAATGAAAAGGTATCGCTCAAAACTTCGATGTAGGTCCTTCATAACGTGATACATTACGCTGTGGAATAAACTTCCTGCTCCCATATCAGCATGTCTATCTCTCGGCCAGTTTCAACGATTACTTAGGGGATTCCTCCTATCGCACGATTCTCATCAATTTATTGATGGCCAAATCACAAACGGTAATGCCGTGTACGGTGGTGCTCCTGGTGCCTAGGCTCAAGGGTGACTAACAGCAATGACAAGAGCATACAACACCGAAAACTGAACGCATAGGTTAGGATAAAATTCAATTTAACAAAACTGATCTACAGAGGGCAGGAAGCGGAGAGTGATACGATTTGCAGCAGTGAACTCTGTAGCTACTCTGATGCAGCTTCCGTTTCTTTGTAACCTAACTGATGACTCAACTTGACACCTTTTTCTTAAAATAATCTCTTTACCCTCAAATGATAACTGAACTGTTTTTCGGTGGATCTTTTTAGCATGTAACATGTTTTATTATTTGCCCTTTGTCATCAGCACTTACATGTAAGTACTCCGCACCATCACATTGTCTCTATAGACCTGATATGGTAACACTCAAATGGCAACACCATGATCATCCCTCTCCAGCGGCTATATAAAGCGTGGTTACCATCGTGGCAAGAACCATGAGTTTCATTTAAATGTTTATAACTTTATTAAACTTTTGTACAAAGGTTTTTAACACAAGCGAATACCTGGTTCAAAATCTTCTAATTTCACTGTTTCATGGTGATATCTTCGGCTTCGATTTGGTTTCCACCACTCTCATGCGTACCTTCATGTTCTTCCCCATAAGCTTACCTCTAAACAGTTGGTTTTGGATACTTCTTCAAGTAACTTCTGTAGTCAGCACGAAGGACTCACCTGTATATATCATGTTGATATTTTAGGAAATGTCCTGGTGCGAACTTGATAGACGCAGAGGCCAGTCACTAATTGTTGGAACTTGTTATATGCCCACGAATACGAGACCGAGAAAGAACACGATAGCGTGGTTGGATGGGATAGTATATTTTCGAGGTCACGCTGAGATACCAATGAGTTCCAACTGACTAGCTAGAGAGTAGATTACGAGCAGTGCGACGTAACACGACAGCATAGTCATATGGCGAGGATGCTTGACCGGATGCCTACAACTTGGCGGACCCAGTTAAACTATCAAGGTCAGCATCAATGTTGGATCTCGTCAAACCCCGGGCTGTTGATTCTGGAAAGTGTGTGACGCTACAATGTGCCCCTGCGTGGTATTTTTATGCTCCTGTTTTAAAGTTCGCCTGCTACTCGCTTCTGTTATTCCTTTTTTCAGGTCTGCCTAACCAATCCTTCACCCATATGGAATCGTAGCAGTCACATTTGTCAGTGTGCACCATGCCATCGAAACCTTATGACGAACGCACACAACACAGGGTCACGACTGTACTAGGCGAATAATTCCTAATTTCCAACTAATCTTGCTTCATATTCTGGACAGTTATGTCGGTTTTTATCTGTTTTATTCTTTGCCGTCTACGAAGCATTGTCGTTCTTTCTTTAGGCGCACCACTTGAGTGCCATGAATAACGGTATCTAATGTATGGCTTAACGCTGTACATAAAAGTCGTTTCCCATTGCCGAAACGATGGAGCCTGTAAACTGTTTTGTACTCGTGTAACTTAAGTTGTCTTAAAATATATTATTATTACTGTCATAAGAGTCCACGGAAACACGTAAGACACTTCCACGACATATTTACAGCTGGAGCACAACGGGCAGCAGGTAGGAGAGACATAGACCTGACGACAATATTTCAACTAACCAAAATAATATCTGGGAAGGGATCAACGCAGATGAGACCAATGAAAGATAGTGAAAGAAACCTAGTTACCAAGGCGGAGAAACAAACGAACCAATGCGCTGATCGCTTCAAAAATCTCCTGAACCGACCACCACCACCAGCAACTAGTCCAGAAATAACACTAGCAGCGTAGCTACAGAACGATCGGTGAACACAAACCCTCCGACAAAAGCAGGAGTGAAGTCCTGAACGCCATGAAGTTGCTGAAATGCAGGAAGCAGCAGGGCCAAGTGGAATTCAATCAGAAGCACTGAAAACGGACTCAGAGACAGCGGCGAACATGCTAAAACCACAACTGTAGGAGGTTTAGAAGGAAGAAAAGGTATCTGCCAACTGATTGGAAGAAGGGATACCTTGTCAAACTGCGAAAAGAAGGGAGACCAAGGTCTTTGCAAGAACTGGGGAAGAATCATGCTCCACTCCAGTCCACCCAAAGCAAGCAAAATATCAAGCCGCATTATCCTGCAGAGACTGAGAGATGCTCTGGATTGGAGATTACAACAGAAACAGGCTGGCTAGCTGGCTTTCGGAAGTACAAATCATGTGCGGGTCAAATTGCAACGCTACGCATCATCGTAGAATGGAGCATAGAATGGCAGTCAACCCCCTACATCAACTGTATCGACTTTGAACAGCGTCGACCGAGAAGTAAGTTGGCGGGCAGCTGCTTCAAAACTACGGTTTTAGTGCCACAAACATTTATCAACTTCATTAAACAGCTATATGAAGAGGCCATTCGCCGAGCGATTTCACCGATGATGATTTATGTCTAATGTCTTGTCTCACAAACTCGAAGATCTACAAGCAAAAACTAACAACTTGGCAGAGGAGGCAAGGCAGCGAAGACAGGACTTCAAGTGGATGTAGAGAAGACAGAAGTGATGAAGATAACCAACCACCATCACCACCACCACCACCACCACCACCAACAACAACAACAAGCACCAATCACCATCAACAAGAGAAATCTAAAGGAAGTAGTATCTTTCACCTACCTACCTAGGCAGCATCGTTTCAACTTCACGCCGTGGCACACATGAGGACGTCACAACCAGAATTAGAAAAGGAAGATAGGCCTTCATCAATCTGAAACCAGTGTGGAGATCTACTGCACTCCATCCAGCATAAAGCGTAAACGAGATACGGATTTTCAACATCAACGTCAAGTCAGTGCTTCTACATGATGGTTGGGAGACTTGGCGCGTCATGAAAAGCATTCCCAGCAAACTACAGACCTTCATCAACAACTGCCCACGCTCACTCAATACTGAAGATGAGATAGCCAGAATAATAAGAATAAGCAACAAGGAACTCTGGCCGGCCGGCCGGCCGGCTGGCAACGAACCAATCAAGAACCTATCACCCAACAAACACGTAGAAGAAAGTGGAGATGGATGGGGCAAACACTGAGAAAACCATTCGGGGACATAACGCGCCAGGCCATAGAGTAGACCCCGCATGGGAAACGACGAGTTGGGTGCCCGAGGGTGCAATGGAGGCAGAAATGAAAGCTTGTGGGCAGTCGTGGAGCTAGATTCGAAAGACTGCAGAAAACAGAGTGAAGTGGCGACGTGATACTGAAGCACTGTATCCCACTAGGAGCCCACGGCACAAATAATAATACGCAATATTTCGCTAGTATTGATCACATATTCTCTTACTTCCGCCCTTTCACTGTATTTCGCACATGGATTATTGATTATGGAGAAATTGAGCTCAAGCTGTTGGATGGGCAAACTGACCGGTGAATGGATCCTTCGCGTGAAATGGAAATTGTCGAGAAGTACAGTTCATTAAAAATAGTTGTTTGAGACGCCCATATTTCATCTTGGCAAAAATAACATGAATTCACCACTAATGTTGCATTTAACACTCGTACATAAACGTAGGTCAGACACAAAGCCTGTGCGAGGGATCGATATACAGAACAAACGCATTAAGATTCGAAACACTCATGAAACCACTCTGTGAAGAATACAGGGAATGAGTCTGAAGCCTCTGACAGAATAAGAACAATCTACATGGGATAGGACGGACCTGAGCTTCCATTAACAACACCTTAGTGTATTCTCTAGAAAATACTGGGGTAATTCAAGGAAAATGGTGACTCGTCAACTTTAAGGTGCTGTAATGTGACGGACTAGGAGGTGGGCATTGAATCATGGCGCTTCCAGTATATCCAACCCAAAGGCCAACTTTAAAGTTCCTGCTAGAAACCAGATTCCAATATTTGTCATTTAAGAGTGCAGCATGATGGTGATACGAGCGGGGACTAATGCCATTTGTGACCATTACCTGTGTGGGGTGGAATTTCTGACCTTGGGAAACAGTAATGGGCCGGTTATTAGACCTTCTTGAGGAGGATGGACAGAAGATTTTGATTCATTGTTGAGGAAATGTTATGCTCGAACGCCTTACTTCTCACGGACAACAATTTGTAACAATTTGAGTGGTGACATCAATCTATTATTTGTTATCCGTTGCAGAATCACAGCTGAAGATTTTTCCTCCCATGCTAGAACATTCTTGAGGCATGAGTAATATACAATGAAGAGAAGTTCCATTAGGTTACTTCGACAACGCAGATTTCGCCGCTAAAGAAGTTATTTCAGTGACGTTCTGCTTTGTTTTCATCGACGCAGTTTCATTAAAGTTTCAATTGCATGAAAATTAAAATCTTACAGAAAAAGAACTCAGCTTTTTTTAACTAGTCTGAAATTCGTAATGATTACATCACTGGACATATGCGCGGGTCACCGCTACTGGCGGCAAAACTTCCTTGTACCTATGTTGATTAATTGTAGCTCCTGGTAAACATGTCTGTATCTTCAGGGAACTTGGCTTTGGTGTGGGATGACCTAAAAAATGGATTCGACGCGATATTTAGACTTGAAACAATCAAACGGAAGAGATACATGGAGCTTCATACACATGTGTACAATTATTGTACTTCAGTTGACCCGAAGTCTCACACAACGCCTAGCAGAAGTGCAATAGAAACTGAACCGGGTGGAAAGTTGGTGGGTTTCGAGTTGTACAAAAAGCTACGCAACTATCTGAAGGCGCATGTACATTCCTTAAAACTAGTAAGTACATTACATAGTATTCACTTTCTTTTAGAAAGGAAATAATCTTGTTGATGAAGAAACACTGTCATATTTTGAGAAAGCCTGGACCGAATTTCGTTTCGCATCAAGGGTGTTGGATGGAGTCTGCAATTACTTGAATAGACACTGGGTCAAACGGGAGTGTGAAGAAGGGCGAAAGAATGTCTTTGTTGTATACACAGTACGTCAATTTTTATTGCTGAAACATGAAATGACGTCAATCATTTCTCACGTGTACTGATGAGTTTTCCTTGTCTTTTGACAGTGTGACTTGTCTAATAGCTGTCTTGGGTTGTGTATATTTAGGCCTAGGGATCTAGAGCACTTTAATTCAGTGCACCTACTCAGTGCACTCGACATTGTGATATCAGAAGTTACAAAAAAAGCTAAAAACGGAAATAAAGGTATTCAGTTGTGTGATTTTGCAAGGTTTCTTTGGGGCTTCGTTTGTATGTCCATGCTACTTTTATCAATTTGGCATCACGTCGAGAGTTTTTATCGATTTTGATTGTCTTATGGACTCCAATCGGGAGGCCTACATGGCTCAGGACAACAGTCTTGGAGCTGATGCTTTGGCGCCGGACCAGTTTTTCAACAGACTAGTCCTGTTTCAGCTAACCGAATGCTCATAAACTATGGTTGACTCGTCACGAGTAGCGTGCGTCTTACTTGAGTGGAAGAAGCTTCATAATCTTATAGCCTGTTTTGTCTCCCTACCTATTTCTCTTCGCCGCACTAAACATAAGTGATGTTATGAAGACTAGTGGTTGAATACGTCTTTCGCGAATCCTCTAAATTTAACTACAGTTTCCTCATCCAAGTGGTGGGACAGAAAGTATTGCTGTTTAGTACACTCGACTTTTACTAGGGATTTGAATATCTTGACTGCAACATATTGTTGGTTTGTAGGAGTCATGTAAGCACTTTGTTTCCGCACCGAGACTTCGTTGATCACGTTGACCAAGTAGGTGGTGCAGTTAACACCTTATAGCTTCATCTTATGTAAAAATAGGTGGTATTAATGCAGTTTAATTCTGGAGCAACAGTTTTTTTCGAAGGAGAAAGACGTATGCTTAATTTTGTATCTTTATATCTATGGCCAAAATTGGCATTTTATGACCTAAGTAATTCGTGATGTCTTTTTTGTATTCAGTCAGTATCTTAGATAATAATTCTGAGTGAATTCTCACACTATATGACCATTTCTTTAAAGTACATTCTGACAATTTTACATGTGGGTTTCCAATGGTAGATAGGTAGCATAGTTATAATAATATTATAGGCTTCGGCATTTCATAATACAACGCAAACTGACTAGCACATATACTTTTATGATGTACCTCATCCCTAAACCTTATCTATATTGTAGCTTGCATTGATAACATGGCGTGAGCATCTACTAAAGCCTCATGCTAGGGTTTTGATCAGTGCAATTCTTCGAGAAATTGAACGTGAGCGCCGTGGGGAAATTTTATCAACTCTACGACTAAGAAAAATCATCGAGTGTCTAGTTGAATTGGGCATTACGTCTGAACAACAAACCTTCTCAACGTCTTCGTTAACTGGAGCTCCTTTATCCCCTAGTGAACCTTTGCCGTACCTGATGAAATCTTTCAAATCTCCAAGTTTCCCACCTAAACCCAGTGGTTCCGCATCAAAACCAAATAAACCAGAGCTGGTAGGTTCTTCTTTTACGGAAATGATAAATATTCAATGATATTTTCCCCCAGTTCGAGTTGTCCTTTTGTTTTTGTCACATGCTCAGCAATGGAAATTCCTCAACCTCACTGCAAAAGAAGTTCTTAGGAATTTTATGAAAAAAGGTAACTCAGCATACGTTTAGACATATGAACGATTCCTTTTGTAACCAAACTTATCATTATATTTATTTTAATATAAACACAGTTGATAACTTGCAGATACCGGTACGTAAAAGACAATGTATCTCTCCAGACTCATCCGCAGAAATCGATAGCTAAAACCTCACACCTAAATGACTTCAGTCACTACTTGCAAGGAAAACAGCTTAAGCTTAAAACAATGTAAGTCAATGTAAGCATGGGACTTGACCCTGCGGAGCAACAGACCAACTTGTTTCACTACGTATCAGCAAATCAAGGTAAAAGATACCAAGATGAAGGATAAAGAAGTAATTTAGAGTGATCAAAAGAAGCGACCTAGAAAAACTAAAACAATGATGGAATTCTTCATGATAGTGACAATAAAGATAATGTGTGGATGCATCTCTGCCACTGAGATCGATTCTGAGCCATGTCACATAGAGTTTCCAATCACTGGTTTCTGTTGCCGCGTGGACCTCAACCGGAATGCCCACATTTCCCTACAAGGTTTATACCATCATTCAGAGAGTTCATGTATTGATGACATGTTTTGGTCTGATCACCTTTAGCCATTTTCCAATCTGAAACTACTCAAGGTAACATTGCAGGACTAGGCAGATGGTGACTGGACATGCGTAATGCGTGCCCCAATCATGTGAGTCGATGGAAGTTTACAACTTCGTGAATTGACCTACATTTTTTACCTAGAATTCTGCACTTGCCTTCTACGTTGCTGATGTATTGGTTCCATAACTCAGGGTTTACGGTTCTAAAACAACGGTGATAGAACACCTGAATCTTTATGTTTGATTTCCTAGACATTTAGCGGCCATGCTTTACAATAGTGAAGTAGAACAGAGCGAACTGCAGCTCAGTAGACTTGACCTTTGATAGGGTCCATCGATGGTGTAGGTTGGCAAACGCCAGTCGAACTTTTTGTATCTGTGTCGAGATTTCGTTGTTGGCTGACCCATAGGGGTTGATCCGACTTTGGAAGGGAGTATGAAGTGTTCAGGGTGCTCAACCACTTACTTGGTTCCCCATTGTTAGAGGTGGTGCTAACGCAGACCAATCCTGTCTCAGTAATGTGCTTTCGAAAGTTGACGAATGCGTTCTAAGTATTCTGAAATTGTCAGTCTTGGTGTCCAGATGACTGGATATTTTTGGTGTCTGTTATATTCCTGAATATTATATGATACACAGGCTCTAAATAGTCTTCACATAAGAGGATTCAAACATCCGCATACTCGAAGTCTATTGTGGCATCTGATGAGGTGATGCCATTTCTTGTAGTCTGGTGAAGAGATGGAGGTCTTCGTAAGCACGTGTTACAAAATTGAATCAGAGTGGAGATAGTTAACTTTTTTGACGGACACCGCTTGTCACATGATACCTCACCACTGGTTATAACACTAATAGATGTTGAAAATACAAATCAGTGTACACACCTGATGTCCTTTTCAGTGAGAGACGCTGGAGTAAAACTTGTGGACCAAGGAAGTGGAATGACATGTGCAGGTCAACAGATAGAAATGATGTTGAGAGCTGTTAAGTGTGTCAGTGTTTTGGTACCTGGTTGGAGTGTGAATGTCTGTTGGATGGAGCTACACTCATATGTGAAAGCTGCCTAGTGTTCTTGGGTTTGGTGTTTTTGATCTTCACTTAGTCGTTTAATTATTGGAGAACTTTGAATCTTCGTGAGACTAACTTCTTTATGTTTATCCTTTTCTCGCCTCCTAATGACTAGAGCAATCAGTAATTGCGACCAGTTAGTGTGAATCATATCTGATTCCTATTCGCTAGCTAACTTTTCAGATATCCGACAAATAATCTTCCTTAAGTACCTGTGGTACTAACCTATCTGACCCTGCTACCCTCGCGCATTTCACATCTCTCAACTGCAGCAAGAGTTAGAGGCCCTATGTTAGTTTTTCATTCAGAATCCGATTGAAGAGCGGTTAGTGGAATAGTAGTTAGAGGTCTGTTGAATCGTTCTTTGAATTTTCCCGCACATCGTTCCAGTAGTCTGTTCTACGAGGGCACTGTTGCCTCACCAACCATTTAGATTTTTGCCGCAATTTCCGTGATCAGTCTAATTATTTTTATGGTTACCTATCAACGCTACCTATTCTATCTCTAGTCTTCACTTCCCACCACTTATCGTTTTCTTTTCTTAGACCCTGTGTCAGTTTACACTTAAGCTGCTTTAGCTACATGATGGTCTCCTTGAACAGAAATAAAGTGATGCAGTTGAAGGCATTGACCGTTTTCCTCGTTTGGGAAATTCCACTAGCCTACGCCGGCCGGTTCTTTTGCGAACTGCGACATAGTTACTTGAAATTCACTTGTTCGCTAAGCATGACGAAATAACCGACTGCTAATCAAAGGGTTCATGTCTCTACGCGAATCTTCTCTGTTCTGCTGAGTGACTTTGAGGTGTGATTAGGGAAGGTGAACGGTTAGGAGCAAACAGATTTTCAGCCATGCAAAACTTCTTACTATTGCCTATGGTGCAAGGACTGCGGCAGGCTAGACAGGGAAGGTAGGTCTGTGGATAAACTTCTAAACCTTCTTGTGCTGGGGAGAGGGGAATATTTGATGTGCATTTTAAGCAACTATCTGACTCGGTATGCAATTTGACCTGTAGTAGGATTAAAGCGGAAGAAAACTGGGAAGTCAAACTAAGATGGGATCAGTCTGGAGAATCACTCACTTTCGGTCTTGGGTGAGTAGGCAAGTGTGAACTATCTGTATAGTGTTCTCGAAATGTTTAGAAACAATCTTTGAAAGCCCCTCAGTTCTGGACTCAAAATAAACACCAGTGGCCCAAATGTATTTATTTATTTTTTCTTCATATGCTTGTTTTAGAGCTGTGGCTTATATATTTAGGGAGATGGCTATCAACCATTGGGTCACGGGCCCTAGCCCCTCTCCACCTACTGAGACTTTGGCAGCCAGGTAGTATCACTAACTCTCACACAATAGGTTTGGCTCACTGCCTACTGCTTGGATGTACGCAAGGTGAATGAGTGTGCTAAAATGTAGAAAAAATGTTTTTTTTACATCACGTTTTTATTTTTTCTGTGATGTGTCGAAGTGTTGCACTTGAACTGTTCCAGTTTTTGTGACTCATTCTACATTGGTTTGTATACTTCAGTAATGTAAGGTGAACTACGTATGCGTTGTGAGTGAAGCTTTGATTCATCGGCTATGCACTGGATTTTCAGTCAGTCAGTTCTGGGTTCGAATTCAGCTCAACTTTGGCTTGGGCAGCCAAACAGTATCATTGAGGTTCATACAAGTGGTGTGGCTTTATGGAATAGTACATAAAAAAGAACATACTCGATTAAGCTACATCATCTTCGCGGTGTTATTATTATTATTGTTCTGTGCAGCTTAAGACACAGGGACATTGGTAATTTCAAATATGCTTGTACAACTTAGTCGCATTTGTTACATTTATCTTAAATGACAAAAAACGTTCACTTAAACGGAATGAAAGGTAGCAACACATATTTCAGGCCACTTTTCGTCTATCAAAGAATTATCGCTGGTCAACAAGCTGGTTCATTGTTCTTTAAATGTCTTCAGTTAGTATTATGAAAGGCATTGTCATAAAGACTCAAAAACTCATTTCTAAAAGTCTTTTAGGATAGTAGTTTCGATATTTTTTTTCGGTAACTCGCATTTATTTATTCTTTAACTGTCTCAGAAGCAGACCAAGTCATGTACACTTGTTGGCTGACCCATAGGGGTTGATCCGACTTTGGAAGGGAGTATGAAGTGTTCAGGGTGCTCAACCACTTACTTGGTTCCCCATTGTTAGAGGTGGTGCTAACGCAGACCAATCCTGTCTCAGTAATGTGCTTTCGAAAGTTGACGAATGCGTTCTAAGTATTCTGAAATTGTCAGTCTTGGTGTCCAGATGACTGGATATTTTTGGTGTCTGTTATATTCCTGAATATTATATGATACACAGGCTCTAAATAGTCTTCACATAAGAGGATTCAAACATCCGCATACTCGAAGTCTATTGTGGCATCTGATGAGGTGATGCCATTTCTTGTAGTCTGGTGAAGAGATGGAGGTCTTCGTAAGCACGTGTTACAAAATTGAATCAGAGTGGAGATAGTTAACTTTTTTGACGGACACCGCTTGTCACATGATACCTCACCACTGGTTATAACACTAATAGATGTTGAAAATACAAATCAGTGTACACACCTGATGTCCTTTTCAGTGAGAGACGCTGGAGTAAAACTTGTGGACCAAGGAAGTGGAATGACATGTGCAGGTCAACAGATAGAAATGATGTTGAGAGCTGTTAAGTGTGTCAGTGTTTTGGTACCTGGTTGGAGTGTGAATGTCTGTTGGATGGAGCTACACTCATATGTGAAAGCTGCCTAGTGTTCTTGGGTTTGGTGTTTTTGATCTTCACTTAGTCGTTTAATTATTGGAGAACTTTGAATCTTCGTGAGACTAACTTCCTTATGTTTATCCTTTTCTCGCCTCCTAATGACTAGAGCAATCAGTAATTGCGACCAGTTAGTGTGAATCATATCTGATTCCTATTCGCTAGCTAACTTTTCAGATATCCGACAAATAATCTTCCTTAAGTACCTGTGGTACTAACCTATCTGACCCTGCTACCCTCGCGCATTTCACATCTCTCAACTGCAGCAAGAGTTAGAGGCCCTATGTTAGTTTTTCATTCAGAATCCGATTGAAGAGCGGTTAGTGGAATAGTAGTTAGAGGTCTGTTGAATCGTTCTTTGAATTTTCCCGCACATCGTTCCAGTAGTCTGTTCTACGAGGGCACTGTTGCCTCACCAACCATTTAGATTTTTGCCGCAATTTCCGTGATCAGTCTAATTATTTTTATGGTTACCTATCAACGCTACCTATTCTATCTCTAGTCTTCACTTCCCACCACTTATCGTTTTCTTTTCTTAGACCCTGTGTCAGTCTACACTTAAGCTGCTTTAGCTACATGATGGTCTCCTTGAACAGAAATAAAGTGATGCAGTTGAAGGCATTGACCGTTTTCCTCGTTTGGGAAATTCCACTAGCCTACGCCGGCCGGTTCTTTTGCGAACTGCGACATAGTTACTTGAAATTCACTTGTTCGCTAAGCATGACGAAATAACCGACTGCTAATCAAAGGGTTCATGTCTCTACGCGAATCTTCTCTGTTCTGCTGAGTGACTTTGAGGTGTGATTAGGGAAGGTGAACGGTTAGGAGCAAACAGATTTTCAGCCATGCAAAACTTCTTACTATTGCCTATGGTGCAAGGACTGCGGCAGGCTAGACAGGGAAGGTAGGTCTGTGGATAAACTTCTAAACCTTCTTGTGCTGGGGAGAGGGGAATATTTGATGTGCATTTTAAGCAACTATCTGACTCGGTATGCAATTTGACCTGTAGTAGGATTAAAGCGGAAGAAAACTGGGAAGTCAAACTAAGATGGGATCAGTCTGGAGAATCACTCACTTTCGGTCTTGGGTGAGTAGGCAAGTGTGAACTATCTGTATAGTGTTCTCGAAATGTTTAGAAACAATCTTTGAAAGCCCCTCAGTTCTGGACTCAAAATAAACACCAGTGGCCCAAATGTATTTATTTATTTTTTCTTCATATGCTTGTTTTAGAGCTGTGGCTTATATATTTAGGGAGATGGCTATCAACCATTGGGTCACGGGCCCTAGCCCCTCTCCACCTACTGAGACTTTGGCAACCAGGTAGTATCACTAACTCTCACACAATAGGTTTGGCTCACTGCCTACTGCTTGGATGTACGCAAGGTGAATGAGTGTGCTAAAATGTAGAAAAAATGTTTTTTTTACATCACGTTTTTATTTTTTCTGTGATGTGTCGAAGTGTTGCACTTGAACTGTTCCAGTTTTTGTGACTCATTCTACATTGGTTTGTATACTTCAGTAATGTAAGGTGAACTACGTATGCGTTGTGAGTGAAGCTTTGATTCATCGGCTATGCACTGGATTTTCAGTCAGTCAGTTCTGGGTTCGAATTCAGCTCAACTTTGGCTTGGGCAGCCAAACAGTATCATTGAGGTTCATACAAGTGGTGTGGCTTTATGGAATAGTACATAAAAAAGAACATACTCGATTAAGCTACATCATCTTCGCGGTGTTATTATTATTATTGTTCTGTGCAGCTTAAGACACAGGGACATTGGTAATTTCAAATATGCTTGTACAACTTAGTCGCATTTGTTACATTTATCTTAAATGACAAAAAACGTTCACTTAAACGGAATGAAAGGTAGCAACACATATTTCAGGCCACTTTTCGTCTATCAAAGAATTATCGCTGGTCAACAAGCTGGTTCATTGTTCTTTAAATGTCTTCAGTTAGTATTATGAAAGGCATTGTCATAAAGACTCAAAAACTCATTTCTAAAAGTCTTTTAGGATAGTAGTTTCGATATTTTTTTTCGGTAACTCGCATTTATTTATTCTTTAACTGTCTCAGAAGCAGACCAAGTTATGTACACTTGAAGAAATAAACTTTAATTGGCAATATGTTTGTTTCTCAAATTGTAATTGCTTCCTTTAGTAGTGGGTAGTGCAGTTTCCAGTGTCCAATGAAACGTAGGTTTTGGTGGCGTTGTGTCGTCTAAGCTAACGACAACCATGAGGCTTTCATTGTCCTTCTGGATAACATCATCAGCACTAACTTCAGTATGTAGTGAGCTATCAGGATTTCACTGTTAGTAACTCAGTAGCCTGTGTTGAAAAGGTGGTGAGTAGAACTAATCACTCACGAAGAAATCCTGATAGCTCATATCAAACGAAGTTTAATGCTCGTAATGTCTAGAAGGACAATGAGAGCTTCGCGATTAAATCGTTCAGTTCAGAGAAGGCGACGCCACCAAGTTCACCCAGCTAACTTACAAATATTCCCCATCATCTCGAAAATAGGTTTCTTCAACGCTTTAAAAATATACCTTACAGATAATTATCAATGTTTTGAAAACCTTGATCGTGGACGTTTTGCCAATAAACTCTAAACCTCTGACGCTGTAGTTCATGTTATGGATAGAAATGATAAGATTCATCTAGTTTTGTAGATTTCGCTTTCGTAATTATACTATGACTCTTGTGATGAAATCAATGTAGCCTGTGTTGGATATTAACTTGATATCATGTTCCTGAGTGTGCAACTATTGTTTCACTTCAATTATATAAGTGTGAATTTAGTTGGGTTTGAGTCGGCCTTCGATTTGTTGGCTTGTAAATTTTAAAGAATTTACTGATGCTCCTTAACATGTTTTTATGCACTATTTGGACATTAGTCTATGAAGTCTCAAACTGTTGGTCTTAGCCGTGTAGAAAAATGGAGGGTTTGAAGTTTGGAGTTTACGTGAGAACCGAAACCGATGGTTCGAGGATATTAGTTATGTGGCTTAGAATCGATTACAGTGATGCAGAGGGATGCACAAATTATCTTCATCCTGTTCGCTGCTAACTTTGTCATCTTTTTTTGGTACAACTTTCTACTGCTTTTGATTACTTTCTTTTCGTTGCTCTGCTCTTCATCTTTCTGAATTTTATCTTGATATACTGGTGTTAGGTATAACGTTACTCAGCAGTATCCGATCCCATGTTGACAGGCAAACTAAAAGTATAATACGGGGAAAAAACTTCACATTTCATTTTCGCTTGTTGATTTGGCGTTCAGTATAGATCTCGTCTCATTATTTTGAAACCCTACAGTTTTTTAACACTCGTTCTCTACCATTGTGCAAGCATGTAGTTGTTGATTATCAATTGTTTTGTCGTTTGATATTATTTTTGTCAATTTTCTGCATAAGTATGTTTCCCTTTATGTTAAGGTTTTTTGACGTGGTTCTATTTTAGGAATCCAGTTATCAGGGTGCATCTAATAAAAGTGTCCCAAATTTCCGGGGTCCACTTCATTCTGTGGACTCAGCTGACGAATCCACCTCTAATACTCCTAGTACAACGACATCAACTTTAACTTCAGACTCACGAATAAATTTATCAGTTTATCAAGAATATTTTGAACGACCATTTTTATCTGAAACTGAGCGATATTATCGATTAGAAAGTGCTCAATTTCTGCAGTCGAACACAGTCCCCGAATACCTCCAAAAGGTAAGTTACATACATCTCTATTTCCCTTCATAATGTGTTTGTATCCGTCTCTTTTGAGTTTGAGGATTTCGGCGAACATAATAGAGCATAGTGTTTCGATTTTATCTTTTTGTCGTCTTCTGACATTATCTAAAGCGAAATGCAAGATATTCATTAGCTAGTGAGTAATAGTGCCAGTAGAGTTATAATGCACATAAAACATTCTTCAAAAAATGTTGCGATATGCTTCCAAATATTTTGGTAAAAAAATTAAAATTAGCGCACAACACATTTGTACTTTTTATTGAGAGACAGAAAGGCTTCATACCGTTTTTGTGCAAAACTATAGATTTGTACATGCAAAAAATGAGACTAGTAACATATACACTTACTTTTCACGTATTGACTTCATCCAGCCATTTAAAATCTTTTGGGCTATCGAAATCTTTCCGAGTGTTTTAATACGGCAGGTGAATGTTTGAAACAGCATCTAGTCAGATTAATCTGATAGTTTGTCTCAAGAGATTCTTTATTTCAACGCAAGTTCAAAAATTCAATTTATGATTCCCCCCCTCCCCCCACTTCACTTCTATCAACTGAGTCTGGAATAACTGTTGTGTATTCACTGCACCATATTCAGCCGGGAACAGTCTGAACATGAGAAATAAGCCCTTTTTCGGGATGCGTTTGTGCCACCAAATAATTCTAAATTTTCTGGACGTTAACGGACTTAATTTGTAGTATAATATCAGTTTCTTCATGAGTCCATGCTTGCTTTTTTGTGGTTGTCAATAACCTGGAAACCTATGCTCATAGTTCCTTGTTGATTGCACCCAAATTGTTCAGCATCTCAAGTAGTGTGGTGGTATGCAGTCACTTCTCTCCACTGTTTTAAACCGGTAGTAGATTTCAACAGCTTTACCCGATTTCGTCATTCGCTTCTAACTTTAACATCTATAAGATTCTTTAAACAACTCTGATGGAAGTACTCAATGGTGCTGGTGTAGATGCACAAATTTTCAGTTTCAGATCGAATATACGCAATGTACAGAAGCTGTTAGTGAAACTTGATGCCTTCAAAACCGATGGATTATCGTTTTACATTAACAGGTTTTTGTAGCTAATAACATCTGGAATGGTGAATATTCGACACGAAAAAGACTTTAATGGATAGATAGATTTGTACAACTTCAAGAAACGTCATACTCCCATTTAAACAATGGGAAGATATTTGGAAAGTTACTTTCTGTGCATTCTACCACTTTGTTTCTTTATTTTCACTGAAAAGGTAGTTTTTTGCCTAAAATACAGAACTCTGGATACTTCAGTAGTTGATAGGGTAACATTTGAAGCCAATCCCACTTATTTGATGGATCGTTGGGTTTCCCTCCCTAAACTTTCAATACTTATACGCCTTTATGTATGATATTTTTTCATTATTCTTGTATTTATGTTTGTATTGGTGTTCTACAACACAGTGAGCTACGCAAAAAAGTTATTTATGTTAAAAAATTGCATGACATTTTCGGCTTTTATACTCGCAAACCAGTTAAGCTAAAAATAAAGGATCAAAGGCAGCACTTTTAACATTGGCACATAATCTTGTAAAACAACTAATTTAAAATACTTTTGAATATGGATTCATCTATTGAAACTTGGTTGCACATAAGTTCAAAGTTACCAGGTCATGGTCCCTACGTAATGTTCCTCATTTTCGTGTTGTTTTGAGGGTATTTTCTGCTTTTCTGATTATGTGCACCATTTACTAACTCCTTTTATTCTTATTTCATTTCTTAAATGTTATCATTGTATATCATAGGTAGAAACACGGTTGAATGAAGAACGTATTCGTGTTCAGACTTACCTCCACATAAGCACACTTCCTAAATTAATAAGATCTTGTGAGCATTACCTAATTGGAGAACATATTGACCGGCTGACATCAGTCTTCTCAGATCTATTTAATGAAGACAGAGAAGAAGGTGAGTTCAGAAACATTTTGCTAAGCCAAACACTGTCTCGTATGACAAAATGCCTAACGCAACTATGCAGATGTCATTTTAATCACAAATGCATACGAGAACTGCTCAAATAGACAATATTACAGTAAAAGTAATTGATGCAGGTTAAAATTAAAAACATCTTCCAAAAGTGAATAGGCGGAATACATTTGTATTATATAGAGATCAACTCCATCAGTAAGTCACCATCAATGTAGAACCCTGGCATTACTGCGTAACGCACCAACTTGTCTCACTTCGTATCAGCAAACCAAGGTAAAAGATACCAAGATGAAGGATAAAGAAGTAATTTAGAGTGATCAAAAGAAGCGACCTAGAAAAACTAAAACAATGATGGAATTCTTCATGATAGTGACAATAAAGATAATGTGTGGATGCATCTCTGCCACTGAGATCGATTCTGAGCCATGTCACATAGAGTTTCCAATCACTGGTTTCTGTTGCCGCGTGGACCTCAACCGGAATGCCCACATTTCCCTACAAGGTTTATACCATCATTCAGAGAGTTCATGTATTGATGACATGTTTTGGTCTGATCACCTTTAGCCATTTTCCAATCTGAAACTACTCAAGGTAACATTGCAGGACTAGGCAGATGGTGACTGGACATGCGTAATGCGTGCCCCAATCATGTGAGTCGATGGAAGTTTACAACTTCGTGAATTGACCTACATTTTTACCTAGAATTCTGCACTTGCCTTCTACGTTGCTGATGTATTGGTTCCATAACTCAGGCTTTACGGTACTAAAACAACGGTGATAGAACACCTGAATCTTTATGTTTGATTTCCTAGACATTTAGCGGCCATGCTTTACAATAGTGAAGTAGAACAGAGCGAACTGCAGCTCAGTAGACTTGACCTTTGATAGGGTCCATCGATGGTGTAGGTTGGCAAACGCCAGTCGAACTTTTTGTATCTGTGTCGAGATTTCGTTGTTGGCTGACCCATAGGGGTTGATCCGACTTTGGAAGGGAGTATGAAGTGTTCAGGGTGCTCAACCACTTATTTGGTTCCCCATTGTTAGAGGTGGTGCTAACGCAGACCAATCCTGTCTCAGTAATGTGCTTTCGAAAGTTGACGAATGCGTTCTAAGTATTCTGAAATTGTCAGTCTTGGTGTCCAGATGACTGGATATTTTTGGTGTCTGTTATATTCCTGAATATTATATGATACACAGGCTCTAAATAGTCTTCACATAAGAGGATTCAAACATCCGCATACTCGAAGTCTATTGTGGCATCTGATGAGGTGATGCCATTTCTTGTAGTCTGGTGAAGAGATGGAGGTCTTCGTAAGCACGTGTTACAAAATTGAATCAGAGTGGAGATAGTTAACTTTTTTGACGGACACCGCTTGTCACATGATACCTCACCACTGGTTATAACACTAATAGATGTTGAAAATACAAATCAGTGTACACACCTGATGTCCTTTTCAGTGAGAGACGCTGGAGTAAAACTTGTGGACCAAGGAAGTGGAATGACATGTGCAGGTCAACAGATAGAAATGATGTTGAGAGCTGTTAAGTGTGTCAGTGTTTTGGTACCTGGTTGGAGTGTGAATGTCTGTTGGATGGAGCTACACTCATATGTGAAAGCTGCCTAGTGTTCTTGGGTTTGGTGTTTTTGATCTTCACTTAGTCGTTTAATTATTGGAGAATTTTGAATGGTAGACGTACCGGATCTGTAACTGAGTGATTTCCGGAGATTACTGGAAACTAATGGGTGACAAGGTTTAACGTCGCTCCACTTACCAATGTTTGGTCAACTAGATAACATCTTTTATTTTTACACTGTAGGTGTGTTTCACTGCATACTGCGTGTATGTTTACAAGGTGACTGAGTGCGTTCGTAATAATAATTAAGGAGTCTGCATTCGTGAGACGGTCTCCTGTATTGTTACCGCAGTAGGAGTTTTCTCCGTTTTTGAAGACTGGAGCAATCAGTGACGGTAATAAGTCATAGGTTATCAAATGTGTTTCAGATGCGCTTGCTAACATCCATTTAATCCAATCTCTAATTTTCGACTTGGATTTACTTCACACCGTAACTGTGTTATATACCCTCGTTCCCGTGACGACAAAACAAAGGTGAATAGGGAAATGGTGTGAACGAATGTTGTTTATAGTGTAATGGACCCTTCTGTATTTGTGTAGTTAAACACCGTGTTGATTTGCCGTAGCTTCATGAAAAGAGTATTTACTGTTGTAGTTCGTCTTGGTTTTTAAAGCAGGAGTAGCCATAAACATATATGTCTATTATTCTACCCGATCTACACTAGTTTTGTCCATTCAGTGACAGTTTGCGGCCTATTAGTAAATTTTCTTTGTGATAATCCTGTATGCGTTTATTGAGATTTGTCTCATTTATTTATAACATAAGTAGCAATGGTCGTAATGTTGTACGAAGAGGGTCTGCTAACGGATTACAAACGGAGAACTCAGCTACCTGTCTCATGTTCGTGCACTAGGCATTGAGTCACACATATTGTGTGAGTGCTGGTGATACCACCTAGCTCCCCGAATCTCGTTAGATGGTGTGGGGTTCGAACTCTTGAGCCAGTGGTTAGAAGTTGAGTGCCTAGGCCAGTGAGCAAGGTTCAGTTTAACACTGGATTTCTGCTAGAAAATAGTGGTTTTAAGCGTTTTAGGAAATATTCGGAGATGCTACTGGTAAACGTGAAGAATTTAAGCTGTTTCCCGTTACCAACAACGATTTTATATCGATGATATTAAATTGCAGTTTATGAATTCCAAAGTATCCTGATATCAAAGTAAGGTTTGTGAATCTCTTAGAGTAACGTTTGACAGCGAAATCCAGTGGTGTTGGGGCAATATATCAGAGGCTGATAGACCTTCAGTGTGACTCGACTTTAGTTCAGTTCGAATACCTTAGTGGTTCTAAAGTTCATGCACTTCATGATAGCTAAATCCTCTTTCTACTTAGTTCTGACTAAACACTCTAGGATGCACCGTTTAATTTATTACTTTCCAACCATTCATGCAATACTACTTGAAATGCCAAGAAAGCACTTCTATCGTCTTATTGCAACTTTGGTGCGTTGCATTTTATTGGATCTTTCGTTTGTAAACACACACCATTGCCGGCATGCTTATGGGTCAGTCCTGCATGTTCATATAACTTAACAAAAGCCTATTGAACCTTCTGTATCCATGTAGGGGCTATTTGCGGACAACGACTGATGTTGCTTCTCAGTTGTATAAAGTAGTCAACGCACTTGACGATTTTACTTGTTATTCCCAGATAGGACATCCATCCCAGCCAGTTATTAGGGGACAATTCGCCTTTAAAAGGTAGGAAAACACCCAACAATTCACCAATTTTCACTTAGATTTTAGAAGACTGTATGCTAGCTTAACCTTCACTTAAAAAAAAAAATGCTAACTGTATGCTCAAATTCCATTGAGAAATCTCAAATAACGAAATTAATCCATGCATTCAGCAAACGTTTTCATCTCAATGAGCACGTGTATGATACCAGCATTAGTTGGGCACCGTCCAACTTAATCAACTCGAATAACTCACTGTAGGCTTTAAAATTTGGTTTTGAAAATAAAATTGTTAGTTAGGCTATGATACACTTACCAGTGAAAGGATATCTCCATAAATCTTATCAGTCAGTAAAACCAAACGATCAAGTATGACTACAAGTCTCTACTAACATAAGCTCCATATTCCTTCAGTTTATGAGCAGTTCGTCTGTTAATTAAGTTAAAGTGGTAAGCTCTGTTTCTGTGATATGAATTATAAACACTTACTTATTTTCTGCATTTTGTGCAAACGTTTAGATATATGGAGAATGTATCGTTTGGTTGGTCATTTTCCTAGTGGAATACGTGTTCTTGTCTCAGTCATGGAAGATCATGTGGCTGATAAAGGATGGGAAGCTATCCGTCAGGTCGCTGAAGCTGCTTTAAACGTGAGTTATTGTCATTGAGTCGTACTTCATAGCGCATCGAATTAGCTAAAATGCTTAAGTGAACTGAAAAGTTGCAGTTTGAAAGTATGATTATGTGCTAACTGAAGGAACAAACAGTGTGATTAGTCTTATTTTGGATTTATTTTTGCGTATCCTCTTGATTATCCCAATTGATTATAGTGATGAATGTAGAAAAAATAAAGTGCTTGAAATATTTTAGTTCTAAAACACAGAAATATCACTTAGAAGCGAATTTGAAGACCATGCTTACAATGCTAAGTGATGGAAGCAATCTAGAAGTCATTATAACTTGATATCTTACGAAAACCATTTATAACGATTTTAATGTGTTCCTCGAATAACAACAAGGTTATCATATTCTACCGTATTTTTTCATATTAAAGCTTATCTTTTATAAAATGTAAAAACTTAACTAGTCATCACTGCTAATGATTCGTACGCGCTTATACTTGCACTTCACGAAAACAACTAGAATAGTGTGCTTATTCATGCGAGTGACATGTTAACAGTCAGGTGACTTCGGCCTCTAAACGATATATATATATATATATATATATATATATATATATATATATATATATATATATATATATATATATATATATATATATATGAAGGTCTTAGATCTAGAAAACGTGAAGTTTTGTCATGGAATTTTTAAAAGCTTGGACCTGGAATCATGGATTAGTTGCACCGTGTCAAAAATATACAATCAGTCAGCTGGTAATAAAAAAAGCACAAGGTCAAAGGTTAGATTAGCAGAACAACAAAACCGAACAATTGAAGACAGTGATAAAAAAGATATAGCCATTTGTGTGTGTGAAAGATTCAAACTTCCTTCTTCTACTGATTTTTAGTTGAAATATCTTGTCGCTATTTGTGAGTTGTTTTTTCTTGTCTATCAGTCGAATTCCGTTTTCATACATCTGTTTGTTGGCAGTTGTTTAGTTAAGTATTTGTTATACAGCTGATTTCAATTGAAGCGTTTATCTCTGCATTATGTCTTCTTGTTCCTATCATCAAACTCATTGAGAGCCGAAGTTGTTGGAATGCAGTGTAGCGACATAGTGGATATGATGTTGTCTTATATTTTTACTTTGCTGCAAAAATTTCGGTAGCTGAAAAACACTAAATCTTGTAGTTTTTTTCCACTCATTCTATGTCATTAACTTTACAACATAGAAATATCATGTTTCGTTAGCTGCGTGACCCATCTGTTCTTCGCTCATGACTTCTGATCAAATCTCTAGTTTTCCCGACCCACAGGTGCCACCTTGACGTGGTGGTCGCCCTTGTACATCACAACGACCCAAAGAGCTACAGTGGCTGAAATGCTTCTATCGAGGTCCTAACATACCAGAAAGATCTGTTGGGTAGTGTTAAGACGAAAAGTGGTTACCGTTATAGTGCAAACTGCTACATTATGATGGAGGTCCGGCGACAAAGTCGTACTGCTGCTAGCTTGATGAGGTATGACAACACTAAGGTGTTTCCCCTGCCCCAAAACGGCACATTCCTCGCTACCTCACGGTCTTTCGGTGCTGGTGGTATGGGTTTTCTCTGTCCGGCATTAAAACAACTAAATGTCACACCAACAATACTGAAAAGGCTGCATGTAGCAGGCCATAAGCAGATGTTCCATACATATAACGAATTCAACCAACACAATATCCTGCATAAGTGAAAACACTTCAAATATCTTTTTCTACTAAGAAGATAGTTCATTCCTAAGAGGAGAGCGACATAGCGTTGTAACACGTCAACAGTTAAAGTGTTTAGTTTAAGTCAAAGGTATTCAATATCTATCTGTGCATTCATATGTTTGGCGGTACATTCAATCAATTAAAAACAGAATTCTATGTGGAGATTTATTGATTGATTTTATTTTGGAATTGGTGACTGTCGTCAAGAAGCGATTCCCGAAGTTCCCACGAGAAGTCGTAACCATTGGAGTCAACCAAGTCGAACATGAGGACAATTACTCAACAACATTGGATGTAGGTCACGCTATATCGTGAACTGACAGAAGCAGGAAATATTTACCACTAGATTCTGACCCAATGACTCAATGGCAACATGCGGACCACGGAACCTGAAGGTCCTGGGTTCGGTCCCTGGCGGTGTGGGGTCATGGGTGCGTACTGCTGAGGAGTCCCATACTAGGACGAAACAAGTGTCCAGTGCTCCCAGGTTTCCACTGTTCTTCCAACTGATGTCAGTTCATGGTGAATTCCAATCTAAAACCAATTAATAGATCTTCACAAACCTCCAGATAGAAAAACAGAGTGGTGAAACATGAAAGGAAATCGGTGCTGATAAAAAAAGGAAGCTGATTACTAATTCTTTGCACACTCACAACCTTAACGTTTCTGGTAAATAATCTAGGTAAATTTCCGTTCGTTAAATATTTTTGAAGGCGAATTCGTTTGTCGTTATGTCTGATATTTAACCAATAGATGGAGTCAGTAGAGGGACTGGCATACCGTCGCACCGTGTTTCAAAGGTGAAACTAGCTATGCTGAATGTATAAAATATTCCAGGTGGTACTTGAAACATGTGTAATTGAATGTCTAGGGAATATGGTATAATTACTGTGAATCCCCTGCATATATATTGCCTTAACACAATTATGACCTTGAAAAACTAGTGAAATGAGATAAGATTTCTTTATTACTTCTCCTATCATTCTCAATTTTAGGACCCAAAGTTGTACATTGATACAATATTGAAAGTTCATCAAAAGCATTATAATCTTGTATTATCTGCTTTTGCCTGGGATCCAGCATTTACACGTGCCTTAGACAAAGGATGTGAACGTTTTATCAATCGTAATGCTGTTACTGAGTTAGCTGGTAATCAGAGAAAGTCACCTGAACTTTTAGCTAAGTATGCTGACTTCCTGTTGAAGAAAAGGTTAGTTATTAATTGTCTCAATACTGATTTCTTGTTTGAATTCTATTCCTTTAAGAAAATGCATGAATCAATGTTTAATATATGCTATATTAACTTTTGAGTACTGATTATCGGAGGTATGTCTCTTCCCGTATTATGAAATAGGTTGCTTTTGTGGTGCTTTGTTGGTTTAGTCAGACTAATTTATCTATCTGTAGAATAATGAAGGTGTGATACATTCTCCCAGGTACCAATGAGTTGTATGTTTTTGCGTCATGGCACCTACCAATAATTTAGACAGCTAAATAATGTAACAACTCTCATCATAAGCGTGATACATATGTATTCGTTAGTTTACACTTCAGATGTGATGATTGGAATATTCGCATCCAGTGTGTTAACCATCTTAAATATATGATCATTCATGATTTCAGGTAACTGTTGGGTTATGGTCTCATATTTGGGAAATACATACTTAAGTTCTAACGATATTAGGTAATGACAGTGAATAGAAATCTGTAATAAAGCAACAGCTGTTGAATTTACTACTTCTTTCAACCACTAATGGGAGATTTGTATGTAAGCTGATTTTCAAAAATGGACAATGGGTTGATGCTAAAGATCCTTTAAAGATAAATGAATTACACACAGTCTCTTCGTGTTGAATCCACGTATATGAACAGTCCCATTTTAATAGTCTTTGCTTGAGCATGTAATCGAAAGTGACAGTTGGTCACTGTATTAACTCTGTTTTTATCGATCCTCTTTCGCCCAATTTTTTTTGTGTAATATGTTCCCGTTGAGTGTCCGATATACTAGTTCCTGTTTTTTTTAGATCTATAGTTATCACATTTACTGGTAAACCGCAGCATAAGTTTTAGTCTGATACTTGAACAGAAATATAGTATGGTATGTATGGTCGAGGTTGTGAGATCGAAATGCTAACGTTCATTGTTTTTTATCATACATTAACCAACACAAGTGTCCATAAATCGACGCATGGTAGCGTTGTAAATATGATCTCTGCTGTTGTTAGAATACATATGAAAAGAAGTGTGTAAACCTTGCCGCTCGATTTGATTTTTGTTGGTTCTCCTTAATTCTTCTGCTGCACATTAATCAATTTAGGAATGCATTAAGACAAAGTGTGAGAAATTCAACTAACACAATTCTACACTATATAAACTCTTGGTTTGTAGAGATATACTGGTCTGTTTTTGATAAATAGTTGAATGAACAATTCGTCGTAAAATAACAATATACCATAGTGCCATATCATATCTTTTTCTAATTGGATTGATTAATAAATAATTTATAAATAAGGAGTATATATAGTTCTTTTTTTGCTAATCAGCTGACCTGTAAGCGCATATGATCATGTAAATTTGCAATCAAATAAGCCCCTCGAATAATGATAATAATAATGAACGTGCAATGTCTTCACATACTGTTAAGATGCTTATGTTGTAATGTTTATTTTCTGTTGATTGTGTAGAAAAAATTATGTGATCTAATTTTATCCTACAGAACAATTTCTGCATGTAACTTTAATATGAATAAGTGTAAAACTTAGGCACTGTGGTGGAACATAATTCCGTATTATTCGCCAAAACATAAAAAAATGGATATATGATCTGTTGAAGGTTTATTAACCCTTGTAGAAGACAGGTAACATCAAAGCCAACTCTGTACACGGCTCCTAAGAAAAACGTCCATATCACTGTACCATACATACTCCGGGGAGTTGAATAGTATAGTTTTGAGACGTAAGCTAAGATCAACCATTAGGTAAACATATTACAAGGCAACTAAGCTTACTGTTGTGGAACAAACAAAACACATACTTCATTACAAGCCTAATTATTACATAACTGATCACATCACTCTCCATTGTGTTTAGCAGTTTACATGTATATGTGGTCCCGCATACACAAACAGGAGTAATCGAACCATACAGTTGACAATAGGGGAACATGCACCTAAATGACTTCAAAAACCAATGAAATATTTAGATGTATTTATTTGATATAGCACACAGTGGTATAGTTTTGATGACGTTTTGAGCATAAATTATTACTCATCATATCGAAAATCAGAACATTTTTAAGTCAAAACAAAACGAGTATAAATGTATTGAGCTGAACTCCAAACAGAGGGTCTAGTGTCTTCTTAACTTGAACACTTATACTTTTGGTACTGGGTGATGAATGAAATATGTGTCTCAGTGAGATTCGAACCACCGGCCTGCAGCTTACCAACTAAACTACGAGATCCAACTACTGATCAGATCTTAATTTCCAATCAATTACCAAGTGTTTTGTCGGGAAGCCATGTGAATTCGTGATACGTAATTGTTCGTTTATTGTAATCTTCTCGTTCCAATCGAAATGGAGCTGAATTAAAGAGGGAGAGCATCATATTGATTATCAGTTTAACTATCTGGGGTTTGACAGATTCGTGTTACTAATACTGGTAATTGAAGGTGAAATGGAAGTTTTTTGATAGTTTAACTGTTATCTATTTTCGAACAATTTATCATGTAGTAACTGTCTCATTTTAAAAACTTTATTTATTGTATTTGCCTTTTAGTGCTAAAGACATTCAACTTGATGATTTGGAAGAAACTCTTGGACAAGTGGTAAGTGTTTTCTTTTCTCGACAAACACTAAATAAGTTTTTCTTGCAACAACTGCATTTCATTTTTACTATTTGTAGGGGACTGTAGGGTATGTCGATTACTTTGTTATGAAAAAAGCTTTGAGTTCCTTTTCCACTTTATGAAATGCTGGTTCGTTTTTATCAATCTAACGTTGTCTTAAACCAGTCCAAACCGTATTGCGAAACATTAAGAATTCACTGTTGCCGTATTATTCATTTAGATTAGAACACAGGCACCAAAGAGTGCGCTGCAAAAATAAGCGAGCAACATTAGGAAGACACAAAAAGTGGAAAAGAGAGTGGTAGGAAAAAAGCAGAAGTAGGTTATTGAAGACTCAGTTTCAAAGATAAAACTGAAGAGGCACTCACTACTTTCGTTTTACTCTTCAGTAATAGAAGAAATAAAAGAACTACAGAATAGTCACCGCTGGTTTCGATTCTAGGCCACATCTATCGTCTCAAATCACTCAGTTGCGTGATCTATCGAACCTCATCCAGGGAGTCGTCATGCCCCCACAGATGCTAACACAACACAACTATTATCTTTCAATCCACGGTGCCGCGTCATGCACTAATCACCTCTTTGCTTCTCCCAACCAGTCCTAGGTTAAAAAAAAACTGAGCAAACTGTGTAGGATGACACGCGTTAATCTAAGTCCGAGTCACCGAATCCAGTATTTCAAAATGACTTGACTAAATAAATGACCATCTCCATCACGCCAAAACACACTCCATCTCACTTCATAATTACTGAATGCAAACAGTCCTTTGAAGACAGCGGTGACCAAACATATAGAGTGGCCGAACATCCTCAATTCTGTATGGTTAAGTTTCAAAGGCGTAGAGTAGGACCGTGCACACTGTTGCCTTGTATTCCAGACCTTTTACAGCAAGATTAACGTCACGATGACACCAAAGATGACCCAGATTGGTGTATGTCTCTCTAGACTTCTAATTATGGTCGAGAATCTCATCACCCACCTCCACCAGTGCTCACAAAACTACCCCAGTACACAAACTTCTCGGCAACGTCCCGTGATTCACCACCGATGGTGAGTGAAGGTACAGGCTCCTACCATTCGTGTACAAGCACTTAGGACTTTGATGACATGGAGCAGATACCATATCTACGGACACTAATCGCTGACTGGTTGAGTGCAGTTTGAGTAGCCTGTATGTTATCGCCCAGTAAAACGATGTCGTCCACATCCCTTATCAAAATGTTTTTCACCTAGGAACAAGTTTTCACCACTATCACGCATCTCTTTCAAGGCTGTCTCGAGAGCGTCAACTACGACAAAGTTAGGTAGAAATGGCGAAATCAGGGAGGCCTGCCTAACTCCTCTGTTAATTCGAAACAGTGCGGAGAGGTCTGCGTGAGGTGTTGCTGTCTGCTGTTCGATCTGCATCAAGGTTCCAACATTAAAGGTAACCATCCTAAACGGCGCGCATATTTTCAGAATAGTTGTGTTAGTTATCAAACTAAAGGATACCTTTATGGAAGCAAATGTTTAATGACTCAAGGTAATTCTAGTCATTGAAGAGCAACCGAATTTTTACTTCATTGATTGTGCGGATTCATTATGTATGTGTGGTCTGTCCTACTACCCCAGGCACTCATACAGAAGTGATTATTTTGAGGGGACCATTCCTTGAGCCTTTGACTACCAATCTTTCAAAAGCTGCAAACAGAACACATCACGACATAATTATATATATGTGAGTTTTATAACCTATTGTAGCCTATTGATTGGCTAACAGTGGGATCCAGGACGTATGTTTTGTCCCATTTGAGACTCCTCAGCTGGATGTACCTGCACTCCAGTGAATGGTGTTCCCACTGAGACTCGAATTCATTACTCATCGCTTCAAACGCCAAAACAACGGGAAATTACAAGCATCAATTAGCAACAACTTATGTCTATTGTACAAGTGGTGGCTCTCCTGCACCAGTGGTTTAGTAGATAACGATTTGTCGTTTGAAACGATGAGTACCGGGTTCGAGTCTCAATGGGAACAACATCACTCACTGGAGTGTAGATACATCCAACTGACGATTCCAAAATCGGACAAAATGTGCGTCTTGAATTCCACTACTAGCCATTAAATAAACCACAGTATAGTGAGTATCCAGGTACTATCGAGGCCTCTGCATAAAAGCCCATCTGTCAACAGAGGTCAAGCAGTTCGACCCAGTATGGCAACGTGAAATTTCAAGTACCAATAAGCAGTAAAAACGACAAACTGCTAATTACCCCCCTAAGACAAGTTACTAACTGATCTCACTCTAGTTGTAAATGGTTTGTCAGCTGTCAGAGAAATTAACAAGTTAATCGCTGACTTGTTATTGTATCAATGCAATGATAAGTAGTTCATCAGGGGAAAAACTTTAGGTCACTGAATAACCTGTTAACCCTTATAAGATTGGATTTATCTCCGTTGCGACATTGTGTGTAAATAACACATAACTGTAATCTATTCTTCATGGACTTCTTATTCTTTGCATTTTCAGATGAGTGTCTTCAGATATATCGAAGATAAGGATGTCTTTCAAAAGTTTTACAGCAAAACATTAGCGCGCCGACTTGTGTATAATCAATCAGTGTCTGAAGATGCAGAAGCATCGATGATATCTAAATTAAAAGAAGCCTGTGGTTTTGAATATACAGCTAAATTACAAAGGATGTTTCAAGATGTAAATGCTACAAGGGAACTTAATGCCAAGTTCTTAGATTATTTACAGAAGCAAGAAGAGGCCAATGGTAGTACAATTAAAGGAAGTAAGTATATAAACTTTACATTCACATTGTACTTGGCATGAAAATTATTTTTCTTGGTCTTGTAGAAATGTTGGTTGGTACATATGCCCTTTTTGTGAATAGCTTATAGTATCTGTTTGGATAAATGGATTGGGTCATAAAAATGCCGCTTAAAAATGAGCTGTGCATGACTCGCTGTTCATTTTCTACCATTTTCTTCTCCCAATTATTTCCAATCTTCGGAGTGTTTGTGAGAGAGTTAAGATTTATGGTTCAGCGGTTAGTGTGATCTTTAGAAGGCAGATGATTTTAGTTCATGAATTAGGTATCGTATGCATTTTAATTAGTAGAACAGTAACTCTAGGCACTTGGTTTTCAACCGATGGGTTACGAGTTTGAAACCAGCTTGACCTATCGAGTTTTGCGCAGCTGGGTAATATCATTAGCCCTTACACAGTACATGTAGTCCATTGCCTTTTTTAGTTTTTCATTAGCGCTCATATAATCGGTGTGAATCGTTGCCCACTGTACAAATATGCATAAGGTTTCTGATTGGACTTCAACTTTTTCTCTTTGTTTTGGCATTTTAGTTTTCATGAAAGTCTTCCTCGCATATTATAAATGTTGACATTTGTCATTTTACGCCATCTTTGGTGAGCGTGAGACATCTAACTGCCTATATAACGGCAAGTGTAATAAATTGCAGTTCAGTCTCTCCTATTGTGCAGCTGTGAGATGCAGCCACTGAAAAAAGATCATATGAAGAGATTACAGATTTTTAGCAGTATTACGGTAGAATCACCGTTTGAGCAATGTTTAGGTCAAGAGAAGAATACTAGGCAAACTAATCGATGAGGTTGTAAGCCTTTAGCGACTGAGGTGTCTAGAACACTTGCCACGCCTGCTGAGCTGAGTTACTACTTACCTCGGTGTGCAATGTTAGCTGAGGTTGGATTGGGTTGGAAGAAGGCCCAGGGTGGCTAGAGTGAGATGTAGCACCATTTCATGCAGTTATTTGACTGTTGATTGCTGCTTTAAAGAGTAGTTACTTGAAAATATCCTCCAAATGCCACATATTGAGCCTGCATATTGTGTTTAGTTTAAAGTAAAAGGATCCATTGCATACTTTTTTCTTACTCTAAACTGGGGATAAATTGCCTCTTTTATCCCTATGTTTCCACTTTGAAATAACCCTACAGTATAAATGACATTAGACATTGAATACTGTTCAGTGATGTAGTGGCAAATATATTTGCAGCTAGGACTGTGTGAATGCTTTAAAAGACTCTCTTGGATATTTAGAGCTTTCGACTTCACTGTTTAGACCATCTCCAGTGTTGTTGTCCAGTGATTCAATATTTTGTCTAACAATCAGGTGCATCACTTAGTGGTAAATAATCATCATCAATAGTTCACAATACTATTTATCTTCACTTCTTCGTAGATGAGTGTAGTTATTCAGGTTGTGGAAGTTTCCAAGACTTTTACGACGGCTGTGTATTTCTCAATTCTAGTAAACCAAAGAAATTAGCTATAGTTACGATGTAGATTTCAGTATTTTGTGAACTTATTTAGGCATTCACTTACCGTCTGTCGTGCTTCGCTTAATTGAATCTTGATGCAAACAAAAGTTGTCATACATAGGAAATATAACATGTTCTGCTTACTGGTTAAGAATTGCTAGCTAAATACATTAAGTAGCATACAGTTATTATAATAACTTCGCCTGGTAGTAATTGTCTGAAGCACCGTGATTATTATTATTATTTGTGCCGTGGGTTCCTACTGGGACGCAGTGCTTCAGTATCACGTCTCCATTTCACTCTGTTTTCTGCAGTCTTTCGAATCTAGCTCCACGACTGCCCACAAGCTTTCATTTCTGCCTCCATTGCACCCTCGGACACCCAACTCGTCGTTTCCCATGCGGGGTCTACTCTATGGCCTGGCGCGTTATGTCCCCGAATGGTTTTCTCAGTGTTTGCCCCATCCATCTCCACTTTCTTCTACGTGTTTGTTGGGTGATAGGTTCTTGATTGGTTCGTTGCCAGCCGGCCGGCCGGCCGGCCAGAGTTCCTTGTTGCTTATTCTTATTATTCTGGCTATCTCATCTTCAGTATTGAGTGAGCGTGGGCAGTTGTTGATGAAGGTCTGTAGTTTGCTGGGAATGCTTTTCATGACGCGCCAAGTCTCCCAACCATCATGTAGAAGCACTGACTTGACGTTGATGTTGAAAATCCGTATCTCGTTTACGCTTTATGCTGGATGGAGTGCAGTAGATCTCCACACTGGTTTCAGATTGATGAAGGCCTATCTTCCTTTTCTAATTCTGGTTGTGACGTCCTCATGTGTGCCACGGCGTGAAGTTGAAACGATGCTGCCTAGGTAGGTAGGTGAAGATACTACTTCCTTTAGATTTCTCTTGTTGATGGTGATTGGTGCTTGTTGTTGTTGTTGTTGGTGGTGGTGGTGGTGATGGTGGTTGGTTATCTTCATCACCTCTGTCTTCTGTACATCCACTTGAAGTCTTGTCTTCGCTGCCTTGCTTCTTCTGCCAAGTTGTTAGTTTTTGCTTGTAGATCTTCGAGTTTGTGCGACGAGACATTAGACATAAATCATTATCGGCGAAATCCAAATCTTCTGGGGTCTTTTCATCGGTCCAGCAGCGTATGCCCATCTTCTCTCTCCTCACTGTTTGCTGCATGATCCAGTCAACCACAATTAGGAAGATCTTGGGTGGTAGTAGGCAACCTTGTCTTACCCCTATCTTCACTTCAAAGGCGTCACTGAGCTTTCCATTGTGAATCACTTGACATGTGGCGTCTTCATATAGCTGTTGAATGAGGCTGATAAAGGTTTGTGGCAATAAAACCGTAGTGTTGAAGCGGCTGCCGGCTAAATTACTTCTCGGTCGACGCTGTCAAAGGCCTTTTTAAAATCGATGAAGTTGAGGTAAGGTAAGGAGTTGACTGCCATTCTTTGAACTGTTCTACGATGATGTGTAGTGTAGCGTGGCAATTCGATCCGCACATGATTTGTTCTTCTTGAAGCCAGATAGCCAGCCTGTTCTGGTCGTAGTTTTGAATCCAGCGCATCCTTTAGTCTCTCCAGGGGTGGACACCAGCATGATTCCTCGCCAGTTCTTGCAAAGACTTAGGTCTCCCTTCTTTGGGAAATTTTTACAAGGTATCCCTTCCTCCAATCACTGGGCAGGTACCTTTCCTTCCCAGCAAATATTCTGCAGTAGTAGTTTGAGGGTGTTCGCTATTGTCTCTGCGTCTTTATCAGTGCTTGTGGCGTAATTTCATCTGATCCTGCTGCCTTCGCGGCTTTCAGTAAATTTATGGCGTTCAGGACTCCACTTCTGCTTTTGTCGGAGGTTATGTGTTTGCTGGTAATTCTGTGGCTGGGCTACTGGTGGTATTTCTGGACGAGTTGCATTTGGTGGTGGCAGTGGTGATCGATTCAAGAGTTTTTTGAAGTGGTCAGTCCATTGTTTCCTTTGTTTCATCTCTTTGATAACTAGGTTTCCTTCACTATCTTTCATTGGTTTCATCTGTGTTGATCTCTTCCCTCCTAAATAGTAGCCTGGTTATTTGATATAATATTGTCAGGTCTCCTACTTGCAGCCTGTTCTGCTTCACTTGCCAATGTGTCTTAGAAGTGTCTTTTGTCTTTGCGCGCACTCTTCTTCACTTATTTGTCCAGTGTAGTGTTTTATTGGTTGTGTTCAGTTCTTTTTTTCTTTGTTCATCCGTGCACTGCACTGCACTGGTTCATCTTCTGCTTCAACATCTTCCTCTCTCTGCTCTATCAGCTTCCATGTGTCCGTCGAGATCCATTCCTTGTCTTGTTTCCTCTTCCTTTCTAGCACGGTTATGCAGGTTTTTCTCAACATAACTTTCAAAGACTTCCAGTGTTGATCCACACAGGTTTCTTCACGAATGTTGCTCAGTATCTCCTATTTTGTCCTGATGGCTGACGTGAAGATGATGTCCTTTGTAGTTTCGTCCTTCAGTTCAGTTTGTGTTCTGGGTGTTGAACTCGAACTGTGGTCTATCATCACCAACTTCCTTGAAGGCTTTCAACCTGATTTTGAAGTCAGTTTCCTTGCACTAGATAGTGGTGTGAACCTACATGTGCTCCCCTTCTTGATCTGATCTTGTTTCCAGTAGGCTGCGTCTCCACTTTCTTCTCATTGAGATGAAGTCGATCTGATTTTTAGTGTGTCCTGGTGTCTGGTGAAGTGAAATCCATGTCACCTTGTGGGTATCCTTGTGCTTGAATACAGTGCCTCACTGCAATCACGACATCGTTGAATGTGCAGAAGTCTGCAAACAGTTCTCCATTCTCATTCATCATTTCACCTAGTGCTTCTCGACCAATGATTGGTTCTCTTCCTGTGTTGTCCGCAACCAGTTTTGCGTTCATGTCACCCTTTAGAATTTTGATGTCATCATCTGGGGTGAGGCTTGTCCAGTGCTGATCGCAGTTGTCTGTAGAATTCCTCCTTCTTGTCTTCATGTGCATTATTTGTAGATGCATGGTGTGGCATTGTATGATTGTGACTTTGTTTGCTTTTGAGTTGAATCCATCTTGCTGTCATGATGCTGATCCTGTCTGATGAGATTGGTTCCCACTGCATGAGAGAGAGAGAGAGAGCCTTTGATGGTGTTGGGGGAGGGGTATATCATGATAGCCACTCGAGAACTCAGTGTGCTCGTGGTTGTTGTCTGTGTGACAATATCGGAGTAGACTATTGACTCCTCTCCAGTTGACAGTTTGGAGAGTCCATTTCCATTCCATCTTCTTTCTCTGATTCCCAGCCTTGCACTTCTATACTATGCCTTCTCATCTCGTTGTCAATCTGGGTGGCCTTGCTAGGTTCATACATGGTGTGGTCATTCCATGTTCCCATGTTTACTTTTGCTTTCATGGAGAGAAGACGCATTGGTGCATTGGCTTTCGGAAGACTTTAACCAAGCGACGTCACTTCGTCTCCTGGATTCCAGCGAGGAATAAGT